ATACATATATATATATATATATAGATACTGCCTTCATACTACACTAATAATATACCAAACGTCGGGGACTACATATAAATATATATATATATATATATATATATATATGTATATATATATTTATGCATATATATATATATAGTGGCTTCATACTATACTTTTAATATACGAATACTAGATGCTGAATAGTCTTCAGTACATACATTAAATATCGTGTATATATACAGATATATATATATATATATTTCTATATATATATAATTATTTATATATATATACATATTCATTTATTTTGCTATTTAGTATGTACAAGGGCCTGCTACAGCAGCTAGCAAGACCATGATCTAACGCTGCTGCGCCCTCATCTGCTGCTGCTGCTGCTGCTGCTGCTGCTGCTGCTGCTGCAGTAGGACTATGCTTTGGTGGCCCTTCAGCAGCAGCAGCAAAGAAGATAAGGGAGGCTCAGCGAAGCAGATCCTACCACTCCAGCAGTAGTAGCAGCAGCAGCACCAATCGCAGCAACAGCAGCAGCATTTGCTTCGCCTTGGCCCCAAGGCGTTTTCAAGCTTTCTTATATATTCTCCTTCACTTAGTTGTGCATATATATATATATATATTACATGCATATATATAATATATATGCATGTGCATGTCTCCTTCTGTCGCCAGATGTCTCCTTCAGTTTGTTTATATTTGCTGCAGTCTCCTTTTTGTTGTTTGTATGGACATCAAATTTATATTTGTTTATATCTCCTATCTTATCTCTATATTTGTCTATTTTAATCTATATTACTATTCGTCTCTGTTTATTATATTCGTTTACATCTCTTTATACTTCTATCTGTCTCTGTTTGTTTATTTATATGTTTATATATATATATATGTATGTATATATATGTTAAGTATATATGTTTATAAGTATCTTTCTATATTCTCTTCTGTCTTTGTCTGTTTGTTTATGAATATTTGTTTATATTTGTTTATATATCTCTTGTCTTTGTTTATTAATATTTGTTAATACTTCCCCTAGCGTCTGCATGCATCAAAAGGCCCCTCAATCCGCTGCTAAACAACGGATAAGAGAAGGGGGACAGCTGCTGCTGTTGCTGCTGCTGCTGCTGCTGCTGCGGCTGGAGGAAACAGCTGCTGCTGCAGGAGACAGCTGTTGCTGCAGGAGACAGCTGCTGCTGCTGCTGCTGCTGGAGACAGCTGATGCTGCAGGAGACAGCTGTTGCTGCTGCTGTACACAGCTACTGTTGCAGGAGACGGCTGTTGCTGATGCTGCTGCTGTTGCTGCTGCAGGAGGCAGCTGTTGCAGCAGGAGATAGCTGTTGCTGCAGGAGACAGCAGCCGGAGACAGCTGCAGCATACAGCTACAGGAGACTGATGCTGCTGCAGGAGACAGTTCTGCTACAAGCCACAGTTGCTGCTGCAGGGGCATTTGCTGCTGCAGAGGACAGTTGCTGCTGTACGCAACACCTGCTGCTGCAGGAGACATTTGCTGCTGCAGGAGACATTTGCTGCTGCAGGAGACAGATGCTGCTGCAGGAGGCAATTGCTGCTGCGGGAACCAGTTGCTGCTGCAGAAACCAGCTGCTGCTGCAGAAGCCAGTTGCTGCTGCTGTGCGGGACAGTTGCTGCTTGTGTGCGAGACAGTTGCTGCTGCTGTGCGAGACAGCTGCTGCTGCAGGAGACAGTTGCTGCTGCAGGAGACAGTTTAGCCGCGTCCGCAGCAGCCGCTCGTTCCTCTCACTGGCTGCGAAGGACCGATGCGCACGTTTTGCTGCTGTCTGTTTTGCTGCTGCCCCACCTGCACTCTCGCTTTAATCTCCGACGCCATTATATGGAAAGCCTGCAGCAGCAGCAGCAAAATAAATAAATAAATAAATAAATAAATAAATAAATAAATAAATTGATACTCTAAAACAAAACAGCAGCACGCCAACAACGAATCCTCCTGCTGCTGCTGCTGCTGCTGCAGGGATGCCGCCACCTGATGCTGCAAGATGCAGCACCAGTAGCAGCAACACCCGCAGCAGCAGGAGCATCCGCAGCAGCAAGAACAGCAGCAACACTAGAAGCACTAGCAGCAACAACATCAGCAGCAACACAATCAGCAGCACCAAAATCAGCAGCAACACAATCAGCAGCAGCAACATCAGCAGCAACATCAGCAGCAACATCAGCAGCAAGAACAGCAGCAGGAGCAGGAGCAGCAGCAGGAGCATTGTGTTGATTACCTCTTCAACATTTTGAGCATTTTTTGCTGAGGTTTCAATGAAGCGGATGTTGCAGGAGTCTGCTAACTCTTTGCCTTCTTCATAACTAACTACCTTCTTCGCTGTTAGATCGGACTTGTTTCCCACTAACAATTTGCTGACGCCTTCTGTTGCATATCTGCAGCAAACTCAGCACACATACACACTCCAGTGCAGCTACCTACACATCTACCTATACAGCTAGCTAGCTAGATAGATAGCTAGCTAGCTAGCTAGCTGGATAGCAACAACTTCAATACACACACACACACATTCCACGTGTCGATAGCTACGCGGCTAGCTAGATGCATAACTAGCTGAATACAGGGATAGTCAAGGAGCTACCTAGGTAGGTAGCTAGCTGAGTAGCTGGATGGCTAGCCAGAAAAGTAGCAGCTGCCTGTCTAGATAATTAGCTAGCCACTTGTCTAGCTAGCTAGCTAGCTAGCTAGCTATCGTGCCTTACGATCTCATGCATTCACCTCTTTACATTTGCAAAGGTCTTGTCTATGTCTATCTCTCCGTTACCCGCTAAACTATCCACCCAGCTAGTTAGCTAGCTAGCTACACAACTAGCTACCCAGCTACACTGGTAGCTAGCTAGCTAGCTACACTCTTAGCTATCTAGCTAGCTAGCTAGCTAGCTGCACGGCTAGCCAGCTAGCTACACGGCTAGCTAGCTAGCTACACCGCTAGCTAGCTAGTTACACGGCTAGCTAGCTAGCCATACGGCTAGCTAGCTAGCTAGCTAGCTGGGTAGGTAGGCACCGGACCTTTCGATCTCATGCATCCAGTTTTTAACATTGGCGAAGGACTCTCTGTCTGTGACGTCGTAAACCACCACAATGCCGTGAGCTCCTCGATAATACGAAGAAGTAATCGTGCGAAACCTCTCCTGCCCCGCGGTGTCCCACTGTGCATATACACCCCAAATGCATGCATGCACGCATGTATGCATGCAAACAGAATAATTAATTAATTAATTAATTCATTCATTCATTCAGAAATATATTTAAAGGTTTACAGATATATTTATAGCCGTGTATGAAAATGCAAGGGAAGAACCAACGCAGCAACAGCAACAACAGCAGCGAAACCAGCAGCAAGAGCAACACTAGCAGCAAAAGCAGCAGCAAGACCGACAGCGAGAGCAACACTCGCACCAGCAGCATCAGCAAGAACAGTAGCAACAGCAACAGCAGCAAGAACAGCAGCAGCAGCAAGAACAGCAGCAGCAGCAGCAAGAGCAGCAGCAGCAGCAAGAGCAGCAGCAGCAGGAGCCTTACGATTTGAAGCTTCACTGTTTTACCATCCAAGTCGATTGTGCGGATTTTGAAATCGACGCCGATGGTGCTGATGTAACTCTCTGTGTACGTGTCATCCTATACACAAACCCTAAACCCTAAACCCTAAACCCTAGACCCTCAGCCCTGACGAAACCCCAAACCCTAAACCCTAAACCCTAACGAAACCCCTAATCCTAAAGCCCAAACACTAAACACTAAACCCTAAAAGTAAACCCCAAATCCCCAGATCTAACCCTAAACCCTAAACCCTAAACCCTAAACAACCCCAAACCCTAGACCCTAGAGCTTTAACCCTAAGACAAGGAGTAGTTTAGGGTTTAGGGTTTGAGAAGAAATAAGAAGAGATGCAAATGGTGTACTTACAGCAAAACGGAGCAGCAAACAGGACTTGCCGACGCCTGAGTCTCCAATGAGCAGCAGCTTGAAAAGAAAGTCGCTGCAGCAGCAACAGTAACAGCAGCAGCAGCAGCAACCGCAGTAGCAGAAGAAGTTCGTAACCCATGCACAAATGCCATAGAAAACACCTACACGAATGCAACAGCAACAACGGCAGCAGCTCGTGCTGCAAGCGCTGCTGCTGCTGCTGCTGCTGTCGTTGCTGCAGCAGCAGCTGCTGCTGCTCGTAGTGCTGCTGCTGCTGCTGTTCCTACTGCTGCTACTGCCCCTGTTTCTGCTGAAGACAAAGTAGTGCATGCAGCACTATCTATGGAGCCTCACTATTCGGGCTTCATCTTGGCGTGTACAACAAGTTCGGGTGTATGTACACGGCCGACAGCAGCAGCAGCAGCAGCACGAACTGCTGCAGATAAGAAGCAACACAAGAAGTTGAGAGGCGCCTCGTACGCCGGCCTTAATTTTTGCTGCAGCAGCAGGTTGCTGCTCAGAGAGCAGCAGCTGCAACAGGGATGTGCTGCACCCAGCCACGGGTTGGCTGTCGTGAACAGCAGCAGCAGCAGCAGCAGCAGCAGTAGCTGGAGCCGCAGCAGCTGCCAGGGGAGAAAGGAAAGACGTGCTTTTAATGCTGCTGCTGCAGCAACAACAGCAAAGGCACCTGAGCCGCAGTTAGATAAGACGTCGGAGAAGCAGCACCAAGGAGAAGCAGCAGCAGCAGCAACGTAGCAGCAGCAGCAACGCAACAGCTGCTCCCTAAGAGTCTGTCAACAACAAAGGAGCGCTGAACTGCAACAAAGAGTTCAGAAAGAAAAATGAAACTGCTGCTGCTGTCTGCTGCTGCTGCAGCAGCAGACACCCAGGGAGCAGCAGCAGCACAGACGTATATGTGTCTGCTGAGTTGCTGCAGCAGCAGCAGCAGCAAGTCGTGAAAGAGACACAAATTCGTTCTTTAACCTGGAAATTTCAGGCCTTTCTTTCTTCTTTCGTTCTCGCAGACGAGTTACTGCTGCTGCACAGCAGCAACAGCAGCAGCAGCAGCAGCAGCACGACGCTACTGGTGCTCGCGCAGCGCTGCCGCCGTTGCTGCTGCTACCGCTGCTGCGCCTTGTGCTGCTGCTGCTGCTGCTGCTGCTCCATATCCTGATTTATTGAGGACACATTCTTTTCAAGGGTGAGAGGAACTGTGCTGGGTTCTGCAGCAGCTGCAACAACCCGCTGGTGCAGCAGCAGCAGCAGCAGCAGCAGCAGCACGACGTCCCCCACGGTCTAGCTGCCCCTCAGCCCCAGCTTTTTTCCTCCTGATGCAGCAAATAGAATTATAAAAATTTGCAAGGGGAGGCCTTTGCTGCTGCCTTCACGCCGTAGTTGCTTGGGATCGCTAGCCGCTGCTGCTCCCAATGCAGCAGCAGCAGCTGCTGCAGCAACAGCGGTTGCAACAGCAGCAGCGGCAGCAGCAGCAGCAGCACCTTTCCTTTGCTCCATTTCAGCTGTTCCAGCAAGGAGATTGCTGCTCCCAGCAACACAGCAGCAGCGCCGCATGCTGCGGATGGCTGTCCCTGCCGCAGCAGCTGCTGCTGCTGTTTGCTGTTGCTGCTGCGCCCAGGACAGAGCCTCTTTCTCTCGTGCTGCTGCAGATGCAGCGGAAATACCGCATGCAGCAGCAGCAGCAGCTGCTGCTGCTGCAGCAGGTGTTGCAACTCCCACGCGCTGCAACAGCTAGCGTAGCAATGAGTGGTGAGTGCCTGCCGTGTTTTGCTTACCTGCAGCTGCTGCTGTTGCTGTTATGCTGTAGCTGCTTCTACTGCTGCTGCTGCTGCTGCTGATGGTGGTGGTGGTGGTTAAGTAGAAAGGTAGATGTGTCTAGCGCAGGTCTGCTTAACATGAGCTGCAGCAGTTGCTGCTGCGTGGTGAAGGCGTCGGAGATTCAGTGCTGCTGCTTGCTGCTGTTCCTTGCTGCTGCTGCTTGGTTGTTTTGTATTGGATCTGTCTGCAGCTAGCTGAGTTTGTCTCTTTACCTTTTCGTGTTGTCTCCGCAGCTAGCTAGCTAGCCAGGTAGCTCTAGCTAGTTAGCCGGCTAACTGTAGCTAGCTAGCCAGCTAGAACTAGCTAGCTGTCCAGCTATCTAGCTAGCTAGGATTCCTGTTGCGGCCAGCTGTCTAGCCTTTGCAGCTGCTTAGAAGAGCGTGTGGGGTGAAGGGAGTTGTGTAAAGGGCTGTTCTGCTGCTGGGGTGTGCAGACACGGGGCACCGCTAGTCGTGTATTAGGGATCGCCTGGGATCGATCGATCCCAGACGATCCCAGTACTTGTGAAGCACGCTGCTGCTGCTTAGTACTTACTCCGGTAGCTTTACAGCTGCGGTGTCCTTGAGCTTGCTGCTTGCTGTTGAAAGTGGCACTCTGCTGCCGTTGTTGCTGCTGCTGCTGGTTCGAGTGTACACGGTGTGTGTACACCTGGTGGTAAGCCGCCGTGGGGCCGCAACGTTAGCGGGGAGGCGTTTTGCTGCTAAAGAGCGACAGACAGCAGCAGATTAGTCTGGCATGCGCTGCAGCAGCAGCACAAAGCTGTGGTTAGACGACATCAAGCAGCGCTGCAGCAATGGGCACCCCTGCTGCTGCTGCTGCTACCTCTTGCTGTAGGCATGCTGCACGTACAGCTGGGGGGTTTCCTTGAGGCTTCTGTAACGCTGGGTTGCTAGGGCGCATAAAGAAAGCTGCAGACACACCGCAACGCAGCGGTTGTTTATGAGCGTGCATGGAGTGTACGCAGGTGTACATACACCGCAGCATAAGAGGCCATCTATCCCAATTGTTGTGTAGCAGCAAAGAAGAAGTGCTGCTGAGAAGCAGCAAATAAACAGTTCCCCCCTGGAGGACACTGAGGGGGCCCTAATGTTGGTATATACACTTGGGGTGTATGCACAGTGTAGACTTTATTACAATCAATTATTATAATATGCATATTATACGCTTAGGGTGCATGCATACGGTACGCTTTACAATAATCATATGCATAGGAGCCTTACCTCTATGTATTCTCTATACAGTTTGCTACGCATGCAATTATATATTATAGAAGCGTCTTACGATGTGTGTACGTTACTGTATAAATTATATATATATGCATATATAATGTACAATTATATCTATGCGTCTATGTATGCATTCGCGCATATATATATATATATACTTTTGTATTTTTATATTTAAGCATTCAGAATTATTGCGGGGGCGTTTAGGCTGCGAAAGTCACTTGAGGCATTTCAGGCTGCCCCTGTGGATTAATTGGAATCCGACAGTGTTCCTTCAGACGGCTGATGGCTAGCTAGCTAGCTAACTAACTAACTAGCTAGCTGTACGGGGCGCTAGCTGGCTAACTCGCTAGCTCATTGTTGGCTAGATAGCCAACCCAAAAGTAAAAGACATCCTCTCATAACACAGTTTCGGTGGAGAGAGAGAGAGAGAGGCTGCTGGTGACAGCGCTGGGAGACGATCCCAGAAACGATCCCGTATTGGGGGACGATCCCGTACTGGGAGACGATCCCGCGTTGGGATCGATCCCATATTAGGAGACGATCTAGGACTGGGAGGCGATACCGTGTTGGGATCGATCCCATATTGGGAGACGATCCAGAACTGGGAGACGATCTCACGTTGGGAGACGATCCCACGTTAGGTAACCCTTACAGGTGCGGCGCCTGGTGTTGTTCTACAAGGGTTACTATCTTTATCGCTAAGTCCTTAAGGGTTTAGGAGTCTAATACTGCATTATTTATGTTGTTTAAACTTAATTTTATTTCTTTTTAGTTATTAAAGACAGCCGCCTGTGTCTTTGTCTTTGTTTTGGTGTATGTATGAATGTTATATATCACTCTCGGAGCAGAGACCCCTATGGAGCAGTCTCCAGTGTGTCTATACACTGCAGCAGCAGCAACAGCAGCAGCACCGGGTTCAGCTAACTAAAAGAAATGCAGTTAATATATTAAGCAAACACATTACTGCAATCGGCTTCCGCAGCAATGAAGGGGGGGGGCCCAGGTGCGTACAGCTGAGGCTGCTGTGCGCTGGGGGGGCCCCTAGGGCCTCGTTTGCAGCTATGAGGAGGGGTTGACTTCTTTTCTTTGGATCCCCAACGAAATTCATTATAAATGCTGTTGAAAATTCAGGTGTACGTACAGCACAGACGACCGCCGCCCCCAGCTATGCAAGCCTTATTGATTTATCTCCTTTATAGGGGCTTATAAAAGAAGCCCAGCCGTGGATTATTTAGACAAGCTTCAGTCTGCTGCTGCCGCTGCTGCTCTTGCTGCTGTCGCTGCTCGTGTTGCTGCTGTAGTTGACGGCCTATTCAACCCCAGGAGCTGCTGCTGCTGCTACTGCTGCAGCTGCTGCTGCGGGTGTCCCTCAGGGGCTTCCTGCTGTTTCGCGCGCTGCAGGCTGGAGCCTAGCCCCTACAGAAGGCGTATTCTGTTACTTATATCTGTAGCTGCTGCTGCTGCTGCTGCTGCTGCTGGGGCCCTTCTCTGGCCAAGGGCCCCCTGTCGGTGACCTTGGGGGGGACCCCTTCAGGTGACCTTGGGGCCCCCAGGGGCCCTTGGGGTATAGGGGTTGATTGAGGGGCCCCCAGGTGCGAGGGCCCCTGCTGCAGTGCAGCGAGTTCGATGGAGAGCCTTGAAGGCGTAGCAGTGCAGCAGGATGCGCGTGGGGTGTCTCTATTAACTCCTCAGTCGCTGCTGCTTACCCCTGTTACACCTCCTTCTCTCTCTAGTTTAACACTCTACCGCCTGTCTCCTGGGGCCCCTGGGGCCCCTCTCTGTTCCCCCAGTTATCATAGACTGCATACCTCTTCGAGAAAATCTCTAAAAACAAGCACTCGTGTAGCTACACTCCAGAGAATGTCTATACTTATCTCCAGCTGCCTCTTCGCTCTTTCTTCTTGTGAGCCACAGAGACACCCCAAACGCCCCACACTTTTGTCGTACAAGGGACAGCGGGGCGCAACACCACTGCTGCTGGTGCTCCTAAGGGTGCTGCTGCTGCTGCTGCTCCTCCTAAGGGTGCTGCTGCTGCTGTTGCCGTTAAGGCTGCGGTTGTTGTTGCTGCTGCTGCTGTCGCTAAAGTTGCTGTTGTTGTTGCTGCTGCTGTTGCCATTGAGGCTCCTGCTGCTTCTGCTGCCGTTAAGGCGTCTGCTGCTGCTGCAGTTGTTTGTGCTACACCTGAGGTAGTTAATTCTGCAAATGCTGCTGCTGCTACTCCTGTTATTGCTGTTATTGTTGTTGCTGCTACTCATGTTGGTATCCCTGTCGTTGTTTCTGCTGCTACTAAGGCTATTAAGATTGCTGTTGCAGCTGTTTCTGCTGCTGTTAGTGCTGCTGTTGCTGCTGTTGCTGCTGCAGGGGCAACGCTGCTGTACTGGGCTCCTCCTATACGAGAGGCTGTATCACTGGTGCTGACATTAGGGGGGGCGTTCGTGGTGTTTGCTTACTTAGAAAACCCTCTTAGCAGCAAAAAGCTTCCTAAGCTCTTAGCTCGTTCAGGGCCCCTGATTCCTTGTGTCTCCCCAATGCTGCTAACTGGGGCCTTCTTCTTTATAGATGCACTTAGCTTTAGCGGCGCTGTCTCACCAGAACCTTCTTTTTCATACACTGCAAATAACTTCACAGGTAATCCCTCGTGCTACTGCTGCTGCGGCTGTTCTTGTTGTTGCTGTTGTTGTTGCTGCTGCTGATGTTCCTGCTGTTATTGTTGTTGTTGTTGCTGTTGTTGCTCCTGTTCTTGCTGCTGCTGTTCCTGCTGCTGCTGGTCCTGCCGTTATTGTTGTTTTTGTTGTTGGTGCTGCTGCTGATGTACTGGCTGCTCGTGGTGTCGATCCCCTTGCTGCTGCTGCTGTTGCTGCTCTTGCCGCTCCTGTTGCTCCCGGTTTTGCTGGTGTTGTTAATGCTGCTGTCGTTGCTGTCTTTGCTGGTGGCCCTCTTAGGAGGGTTCCGTTCTATGCTGTTTTAACTAGCCGCTGCTGTAGGAGAGCTGCTGCTGAGAAGGCTTTGCTGCTGCTGCTATACCTGCTGCTGCTGCTATGCGTGCTGCTGCTGCTGCTGCCGTTTTTGCTGCAGGAGTATCTTTGTCTCTGCATACTCTGGTGTCTTCTCTTTTTCAATGGGGGAAGAGTGGATATGAATTGCAAAGGAGACCGGAAACAGCAGTGCTGCAGCGGCAGGAGTTGCTGCTGCTGCTGCAGCCGCAGCTGCTGCAGCACAGCATTTTTTCGTGTGTAATAACGCTGCTGCTGGGGCGCACTGGGGAGCAGCAACTGGCGGGTTTGCTGCTGACTTGGATGGCAGCAATCTTACGTGGGGCTTTGCTGCTGCAGCTTGCTGCTGCAACGCATGCATACACCTGGTACGTCATCAAGCCCCTGCTGCTGCAGGTCTACAACAACCCTTGGCTTGTTGTAGGGGCCCTCAAGAACCCAGCAGCTGTTCTTCAATCAGCATGGAGCTTCAGTACAGGTGAGCCTATTGCTGCTACTGCTCCTCCTCCTGCTGCTGCTGCCGCTGATGCTGCTGCTGCTGATGCTGGTGCGGCTTTTGCTGCTGTTGCTGCTGTTGCTATTACTGCGTGCCTCGTTGGAACTGGGGCAGAGCCGTTGCTACTAAGGCTCCGCTGGAGCTCCTCATCGCTGCAGTTGCTGCAGCAGCTGCTCTTGCTGCAGCAGCTGCTGTTGCTGCAGCAATCTAGGTAGCCAGTGCAGCAGCAGCAACAGCAGCAGCATGGCGTGGATCTGTTGCAGTATCGATTCTTTCTGGTGTTGTTAGGCTGCTGCAGTATTGTATGGCTCTCTTATGTTTGCTGCTGCATGCGCTCAGGCACACAGCAGCGGCTGATGCTGCTGGCGCTCGTTTGCTGCCTCTGCTGCTGCTTCTTGCTGCACCTCGTGCGGCTGTTTGCGGTGTCTGCTGACGCCTTCGCTCCCAGGCCCAGGAGCCAGAAGACCCTACACGATCAGCTGCTGCTGCAGCAGCAGCAGCAATCTACGCAGCAGCTCCAGCTTTCGCGGCAACAGCAACAAATGACACAGCAGCAGCAGCTAACGCAGCGGCAGCAGTCGCAGCAGCAGCAACAGGCGACGCTGCAGCCACAGTGAAGGGCAGCTCTTTTGCTGCTCCAGACTAACAATCTGCTGCATAAGCATCCTAATTCCCAGCGGCAAAAGGACAACCAGCACAACAGCAGCAGCAGCAGCAGAGCAGCAGCAGCGGAGCAGCAGCAGCAGAGGAGCAGCAGCAGAGCAGCAGCAGCAGAGCAGCAGCAGCCCGTTCTCTTAGAGTAGAGACGAATAGAAGAATGGCCACGTAGAGTTTTTAAGCAAGAAAAATCAGACGTGTCTGCAGTGTACGTACACTATACAGCACCATCTGCTGCTGCACGTTTTGCTGCAGCATCATTTGCTGCTGCACCTTTTGCCGCAGCATCACCTGTTGCTGCAGCACGCGCTGCTGCCAATGAACAAAGTGCTGCTCTCACAGGTCCCCACAGCAAACGAAAAGCCCCAGCGAGGCAGCCGGAATGGCTAGCTAGATAGCTAGCTACCTAGGCATCTTCCTTGCAGCTAGCTAGCTAGCTAGCCAGATAGCTAGCTAGCTGCAAATCCCTTCCTGACTCCGTACGAAACTCAAGAGTATTTAGCATCATTCTATATGCTACTCCAATGCAAAAGCGAGGAGAAACAGGGCAGCAAAAGCAGCAGTTGCTGCTGCATCACCTATTTCTGCATGCGCGCACATCAATAGCAGGAGCAGCTGCTGCTGCTGTTGCTGCTGCTGCTGCTGCTGCTGCATTCTTTGCAGTCATCAACGGACATATAGCACAACGGAAAAAAGCGTGAATCGGCGGCAACGCTGCTGCTGCTGCAACTTCAGCAGCAGTGTCTATGCAATGCTGCTGCTGCAGCAGTAGCCTTCAGCAGCAGCAGCTGCAGCTGCTGCTGCTGCACTTGACGTTCATCAGGATGCACTCCCCAGGGCCAACTCCGCCTTTCGTTTCTCTCTGTATGCTTTGATTTGGATGGCTGCAATGCGGTGCTGTCTGCACACCCCAAACAAACAGAGACAACTGCAGCAAATGCAGCAGCAGTAACAACAACAAAAGCAGCAGCAAAAACAGCAACAAACGCAGCAACAAGTGCAGCAGCAAAAGGAACAGCAGCACCTACTCGAGAATCTGCTCCACTGAAATATTGAAGTGCAGCAAATCGCCTATGTCCGGAAGTGTCTCCCCGTCTTGCGATGCTGCTGCTGCTGCTGTTGCAGCTGCTGTTGAAGCTGCAGTTTGTGCTGCTGCTGCTGCTGTTGTTGCGGGCGGCGCTGCTGTTGCTGTGGCTGGCGCTGAGGGTGCTGAGTCGGGCTCCTCTTTCTTCTGCTGCAGCAAAGACACCGTTTGTGCCGGTGCTGCTGCAGGTGCCGATGTTGCTGCTGCTGCTGCTGATGCTGCTGCAGGTGGATGCGAGGTCTCTACTTGTTCTTCCTTTACCTTCAGCAGCGAGGCAGGCTCATCTGTTGAAGCAGCACTTTCTCCACCTGCTGTTGCTGCTTCTCCCGATGCTGCTGCTGTTGCAGTTGCTGCTGCTGCTGCTGCTGCTGAATTGGAGTCTTCAGCTGCAGCAGCAAGGGTCGATCCCCTGGACAGCAGATCAGCAATTGACCCTCGCTGCGGATTTTCGGTTTTAACAAATGTCCCTGCAGCAGGAGGCGCAGCAGCAGCTGCGTCCTGCTGCTGCTGCTGCTGCTGTTGTTGCTGCTGCTGCTGCTGCCAAGTCCAGCGAGAGGTGTTGCTGCAGGTAACAGTGTCAACGCTTTGCTGCAGCACGGTATTTGCTGCTAAGTCAGCAGCAGCAATAGCTGCGTTGCAGCCAGGACAGTGTCCTATGAGGCCCCCTGCTGCGCTGCTGCTGCTGCTGGAAGCAGCAGCAGCAGCAGCAGCATCAGGAGCAGCGGGGTGCTGCTGCAGATAGAGTACAATGCAGGCCTTGCAGTATGTCTCGCCGCAGCAAGGCGTCAGTGTAGGGGCCTTAAAGATAGAGTTGCAGCAGCCGCACTTAAGATGTGCTGCTCCACCTACATGTCGCTGGATACGCATATCCAATGACGATCCCAGAAGAGACAACCCCCCAATTGCTGCTGTCTTCAGCACTGCGAAGCTCCCGTCTGTACACCGCAACACCCCACACATACAAACAGAATAAGAACAACGCGCGCCAGCACCTAAACAGCAGCTAACTGGCTAGCTAGCTAGCTAGCTACGGGGCTAGCTGCCGAACTACCTAGCTGCATAGGTAGCTAGCTAGATGCCCAGCTAGCTAGCTAGATGGCTAGCCGTCTAGCTAGCTAGCCAAGAAGGCTAGCAGCTAGCTAGCCAAACGCTACAGCTAGCTAAATACCTACGCTGACCTGCAGCTAGCTAGCCAGGCTTGTGCTGCTGCTGTTGCTGCTGCTGTTGCTGCGCAGCTACCCACCCTTTTTGATGTAGACCTCCTGGTACTTGTGGATTTCTGAAGGTAAGATGTCTCGCAAAAAAGACGACGGCAATCCTGCAGCAGCAGCAGCAGCAGCAGAAGCAGCAACAGAAGTAGCAACAGCAACAATGAGAATAAACACAATTAAACCAGCTCAGCACCAAGCCACCGACCCCGCTGCCGCCTGTGCTGCTGCCGCTGCCACTGCTGCCGCCGCTGCCGCTGCTGTTGGTGTTGCTGCTGCTGCTGCTGCTGTGGGATACATACCTGTTGCGGGTCTAATCTTTTTTTGTTGTTTTGCATCGGAAGACTTCGGGCAGTTTTTAATGTGGTGGCCCATCTCCCCACACATATGACAAATATAGTCGGCGGAGACTGTTGTTGCTGCTGCTGCTGCTGCTGCTGCGTAGTGCTGCTGCTGCTGCAGCTGATAGTACGCATGCTGCTGCTGGCGAGCACCACCGGTAGCACCCGCAACACTCCCTGCAGAATAACCACGATAAGAACTCGTGCTGCTGCTGCTGCTGCTGCTGCTGCCTTCTTCCTGAGGCCTCACCCACATCAGATTGTGGCTGCCCGGCCCCCTCCTGCTGCTGCTGCTGCTGTCTGCACGTAGGTAGCCTTTACGCGCGTCGTGAACATCTATAACTGCTTGAAGCAGCAGCCGCTCTTCCTCTGTTGCTGCTGCTGCTGCTCCCTGTGTACAGTCATCGCTTACAAGGTTAGTGCTGCTGTCGCCGCTGCCAGCTGCTGCTGAAGGCGCAGCAGCAGCAGCAGCCGGTCCTACGGCAACAGCAGCAGCTGCTGCTGCGCGGCTTGCTGCCGTGCCCCTTTGCAACTGAGGGTTCGGTTGTTGCTGCTGCTGTTGCTGCTGTTGCTGCTGCTGCTGCTGCTCCTGCATTTGCTGCTGGTACTTGAGCTCCGCTTCGCGCAGCGCAGCAGCTGCAGCAGCAGCAGGCTTTCGTTGTACAAGAACGCACAGAGGCTGGTGCAGCAGCATGCTGTCTGGCAGCACTTCATCTGCTGCTCCCTCAAGAGACAGCAGCAAATCAATAGCCGTGAGAGCAGCGACTCCCATCTGCTGCTTCAGGTGTACACGCAGCTCCCCACATGATACAGGAAGCGCTAAACCAACAGCTGTAGTGCCCGTAGAAGAGCCCCGCAGCCGCCACCGCAGCACCGACGCATCTGCTGTGGCTGCCATTGCTGCTGCTGCTGCTTCTGTTGCTGTTGCTCTTGGATACAGTGCTGTTGCCGCTTAGCAATGCTGCGTGTGCTGCTGCAGCAACGGTTGTTGTAGCTGCAGCAGCAACAGTTGCTGCTTCCAGCCTCGCTGCTGCTCTTGCCGCTAATGAAAGCTACCACGGGTATTTCTGCAGCAGCTGCTGCTATTGCTGCTTCTGCTGCTGCTGGAGGTGCGGAGCGGCTCTGGGCACTGTAAGGGAGGAAACAGTAGCAGCAAAAGTTAACGGGCTGCTGCTCCTCCTGCAGCCAGTGAATATGAGAGAGCGAGGCGGGGCCAACAGAAGCAGCAGCAGCAGCAGCAGGTGCAGCAGCAGCAAGACCTGAAGCCCCGAGTGCAGCAGCAAACGCATGCACGGCGCAGCCAAACAAAGCAGCCTCCAGGTATCCTCTACAATGTATATATAAATACGAAATTGAATACAGCAATAAAAAGAAGAAGAGTCAACAATACCCGCAGCAGAAGACAGAACCTTCTGTTCTCCTAGCAGCAGCAGCAGCAGCAGCGATATCAGCAGCTTCTGCAGCAGAGCTCCAGCAGCTGTGGCTGCTTAGCCGTTATAAAAGAGGTAAAGAAATGCTGAAATATATTTAAAAATTTTTTTGATGCATGATTCTCTGAAACCAACGAAGAAGCAATGACTTCTTGCTGCTTCACTGCATCTCAGAGGGGCCCCCTTACAGGGGCCCCCATCTCACATAGGGGGCCCCTACCCGTGTTCAGAACTGCAGCAGCAGCAGCAGCAGCAGTTGCTTTGAGTTTCGCAACAGAAGAGACAGACACTTGTTCAACACTTGCTGGTGCTGCTAGAGTTCTGGTGTGGCCGCTGCAGTTGCTGCAGTTGCTGTTGTTGTTGCTGCTGCTGCTGCTGTTGCTGCGGTCCCTGCTTCACCTCCACTTTGTTGTGAACTGTATTGGGGCTGTCTCCCTTGTACTTAAGAGGAGTCTGCGTTTGCCGCTGCAGTTAGCGTGAGGTGTATGTGCAGCTGCTGTTCTAAATAGAGAGAGAGACTGCTGTAGCTGAAGGGGCATGCATGCAAGCTGCATGCACATGTTTTTCAGTGTATATTTGCACAACATCTGCACCCAAATCCCCCACCACCATCTCCTTGTTCATGGTTTACGAGAGAAATTATGAGGGTTTAGGGTTTAGGGTTAAAGAGAGTTTGCGAGGGTTTAGGGTTTAGGGTTAAAGAGAGTTTGTGAGGGTTTAGGGTTTAGGGTTTGAGAGAGTTTGTGGGGGTTTAGGGTATATGCAGGTGTATATATAAAGCCTCTGTGGGCCTCAGAGTTTCTTTGTAGCGGCCTTCTATTGACGGGCGGTATAACATAATGAGAATATTTTATATAATATATAATATATATAACATAATGAGAATATTTTATATAATATATAATATATGTAATATATAAGATATAATATATAATGTATATAATATATAATATATAATATATAAAATATAGTATATAGTATATAATATATAATATATAATACATAAGATATTATAATATATAATATATAAAGTATAGTACATAAAGTATATTATATAATATATAAAATATAATACGTAAGATATAATATATAATATATAAAATATATATAATATATATTATATAATGTATATCGTATACATTATATATTGTATACATAATATAAAATACACAATATATATATAACTGTAAAGTCAATAATCTAAGTAGATCTGTGAAATGTATGTATGCATATACATATATATGCATATAAATATATATATATATATATATATATATATATAT